TGGTCTCATAGAGCAGAGATATAGCCTAATCTTAAGATCCCCCACCCCCCTTTCTTTTTAAAAAAAAAAAAAAAAAAAAAAAAAAAAAAAAAAGAGACCAATTCCGCACTGTGCTACCAATAGAAATACAATTTACAGCATTGCAACATTACAGAGACATTAATAACATTAGTTTGTGCGCTCCCCATCTCTCTTCCCAGAAACTTCAAAGTCTGTGGTTGCACTCTTACTAAAATTTAATTTCTCATCCATACTGTTCAATGAAACCACTAATGCCGCCTCCAAGACACAAGAAAGGAGGGAAAATTAGTGTGTGGTGCTGGTGAGTATCTTGCTCCTCAGTGTAATAACCCTACACATATAGGATATGTTCTTATCCCTAAATATCCATGACATGCAGGCTTTCAGTTTTACTACTTGAAATCCTACAGATACTAAAGGTGAGAAGGTAGGGCTTGGGGACCAAGGATTGTAGAGAGAAAGTGTATGGCTTGAACAGGTCTAAATGGTCATAAATCTTGGTTTTCTTCCTCCCAACCATAAACTCCTATGCACAAATACTGCCTTGACAATTAAGGGCCCATCTAGGTACTACTCATACAATGAAGGCATAAAGAGCCCTTTGCAGTGTCAGTTTATACTGAGGGGGAAGAAAACAAAAGCCAACTGCCTCACGTTAGAATTCAGCTTCTGCCTTGGAAACCCATTTTATGCTGAGCATAATCATTTAACTGAAAATCACAACAGCTCTTGAAGCAACTATTTACTGAGCTGAGTTTATACCTTTTCATGAATAACAAACTGCATAGTCCATTCTGCTGCTAAAAAGCAAGATAGCAATGCTTGTCCCACTTAAGTGGCTACAATATACTCATTTTATTTTCTCTTGGGCTTTACTTAGGTTCAAATCTAGATGGTTCAGGGGAAGAGCAATAAGGTGTAAGAACCATGCATTGCGACCATCAGAATACACCAGTAAATGAATGTTATGATGCATCAAAACCTTTTTTGTGTGCAATAGGTTGCTATTTCTACATAATGCAGGAGAAAGAGAAAAAAAGGCATGCCACACAATACTGAAAGAACAGGATACTACAAGGAAGTCAGAAAATAGAGCCAAATCAAACTGTAGCAAAAGAAAATGTATAAATATTTTCATGTTTACTCAAGTAATTGTAAGGGCTCTTGGCTGCATCACTACAGAAAAAAAAAAAATACTTACCAGGTAGATGGCAACAATAGAAGACACCACACACCTTTGTTTAAAACCCAGGAAGGAATGCTTCTGAAAGTTACTCTCCAATAGAAGGGCAAGGATCTTTGTGGGTGTTATCCCTGCATGATGTGTATTTCCTGGACCATCACTTCAACACTACCACTACTCTGTATTACAGAGATATTTTACTACTACAGTCAGTATTTTTTCCCCTCTGTTAATTATGTATCCAGTCATGTGTGGTACTTGTACTTCTAGTCATAGAGCGCCTTCTCAGGAAAGCAGCTTTATTTATTGACATCAACAGAATTTAAGCACAGGCTTAAATAAGGACAAAATTAAACATGTAATTAAGTGCTTTTCTGAATGAGGGCTTACCTGTAATAACAAAAAGGCTAAATTTAGAGAATTTACCCTTATGAGCCACTGTATTTTAGCGTGGAAAAAAAATTTTTTTCCATACATATTTTTCTTCCATTAAACTATTTTTGCCCAAGCAAAAAGATTTAATTACTTGCTGCAGCTGACAAATTAAGTAAGGGATTTATACATATGCACTAGTAAACGTTAACCAAACTGGAGAGAGAGCTTTGATGCATTTGTTTTGTAAGGATCCTCACTCTGGTCATAATCAGGCTCTCTCACTTCATGATTCAATATTGTCAACAATAAGAGTGGTCACTATTAACACTGACTCTTAGTATAACTAAAGCAATTCACATTTATGTTGAGGATACAATCTGCATGCACACTGTCTGATGGCATTTAGATAATTTAGAAAAACAAGCGACTCAAGTGTTAAAAATAAAAGCTGTCCGTTTCCTAGACTTTAACAAGTGAGGGTTTGTTCAATGTTTATTTACACTGTTGCTATGGTATGGGTAATAATGGTAAAATAAAACTAAAAATGTACTTTCTATGGCTTTAGAGATGGAGGTGAAGGGCACAGATGTAATTTTTAAAGTTCACTTAATTTAAAAAAAAAAAAGTCAACCAAAAGCAGATTTCTACTTCTTCCATAGCTAGCATTGATCTCCCCAGTGTTTTCCCTTCCACTTTAGGCACCCATACCTGAACTGATCTGATGCTTTATATAATGTCAATCAGAAGCACATCCAACTAACAATGGTTAAGAAGAAGTGGGAACAGTCAGTTTAGCAAGTTATACCTGGATTGTACATTTTATCCCTTTTGTGCCAGTTTTCTTTTTCTGAATGCAAACTATTCTGAACAAAAACTATCTGCCTCTGTGTAATTGGTATGACTTTATAGATGCTACTAAAATAGAGATACTGAAATGAATATAGGAAAAGTAGCTTTTCTTTTTGACCTCTGATTTGTAATATATATATCATCATAAAAATAGATTACACTTATGCATATATGATCCTGAATTATTTCTCTATCATGAATGCTATTTACATGACTTAGCACATTAAAAAAGTCTCCATCTTCAATAACAGCGCAAGGAATAAAACACTACCATGCATGGTATACTTAAGGTAAATCTTAGAAATGTTACAGAACATATTTTGCTAACCATGATTGTCCAATTAGCCGATACACACAGCAGAGAATACTGAAGAGCCTCCTGTTATCTCAACCTAATGTCATTTGTACTAATGTAGTAACAAAATTTTAATAGCTTCCATTGTATATACTGAACAAATGGAAGATATGAACAAACATATAAAAAGGTATGGGAAAGACATGTAGAAATGTTCACTCAGTTACAATGTTGCAAAATATAAAAACTACCTGGAACGTCATAATAAAGTATTAGACCTTTCCAAGTTTAATTCTGCTCATTAGGCAAGTACAGACATAATATACATTTAAAAATGGACATTCTTTTACCACTTTTCACAAATCAAGGTACAGTGCAATTTAATCAGAAAAAGAATATCGATTATATTATTGTTACGTTAGATGATGTTTTTGCCATTTCTTCAGGAGAATGACTCTTTATAACTTCTTTGATGAACTGTTCAAGTGCAGTGAAATAACCCTGGCACTGCCAAGTGTCATTATGAGTTCCATCTGGAAAAATTGCCAATCTCTTAGTCCGAGCCGGGGATAATTCATAAAGCTGCTTCATCATAACTGGAGGAATTAACTGATCAGACAGCCCAGAGATGAAAAGAGAAGGCATTCTGCACTGAGAGATTTTTCTGTATGACAGGAATTTATTTTTGTAGCACCACAAAGGAAGATACCTCATTGGAAAGAAAGAAAACAAAGTGCTGGCCATGTGTGGGATGCTAAGGAATGTGTTCTCCACCATTATGGCAGAAATTCTATGGGAATTTTCAGAAGCTAAATGAACAGCCACTGCTCCCCCTAAGGAACGGCCAAAGAGAAAGATTTTTGTTTTATCAAGATCAGATCTAGTCATCACATAGTCTAGTACAGCCTCAGAATCTAAGTAGAGACCTTCTTCACTTGCTTCTCCTTCACTTTTCCCATAACCTCTATAATCAACCAGCAGTAAGTTTACTTTCAGGTTTACCAGCATCAGCAAAGCATTTGGTAACCTGTGACCAATGTTGCCTGCATTTCCATGAAAATAAATGACAGTAGGAGAATATGCTGCATTGTCTCCGGTATATCTCAGCAGAATAAGATTGAGAAGAACTCCATCTTTGGTTTTGATGAAGATGTTTTCATGTGGTATACCAGTAGGCATAGGAACATAAAGACGTGATGAAGAGGGCTGTTCAGGGAAGTAAAGTAGTACATCCTGGAATTTATATAGTATACCTGCTATTGATACAAATATTAACATAAGTAATGTAATGCCTCCATACAAATGAAAAGTTACTATCAAAGGTAAGAGAGAAATACGGCAGAGACCCCAAGACCATGAAGCCAAAGCTAGCAGCCATCTTTCAATAAAGGTCCAAAGCATCCATGACTTTTCCATTGTAGTAGTCAGTGATCTTTCAGTCCATACGTATCCTGTGGGGGGAAAAACCCAACACGTTATATGGATAAATTTATAAGCAGGGAAACATACCAAGCATTCAGATTCCAACAGATTAATAGCAAGTCATTACATAAAGATAAGGTACACACATTTGGGACGAAGGGAAAAAAAAGTCAAAGAATTACTGTTGGTTTCCAATTTCTTTACATAAAAAATTGCAGTACCTTACAGGAAAAAAAACTGGTAGTAATATTAAGTGCAAGAACAAAACAAGAGAGGCTTTTGGCATGTACTGACATTCATTCTCCAAGAAGAAACTCTCCTGGGTTAGCCCTGGTTGTTCCCAGGTTATTTTTCCCTTTGAGTGGCCCTTTTTACCCTGGGTGAAGAAGACTGAATAGCTGTACAGTTGTGGTTGAAACTGAATGTCTGTACATTGCTGGCCATGCACAGCCACATGTGGGATGTTTTGTTTACATTAATGCTATTAACTACTATTGTCCCAAACTGCCTCCCCTTAAGCATTAGGACTCCTAGTCACCTTAGCCTCCACTCCATATTGCGTATTACAGTAAACACATCATTTGCCCAAATGCTTCCTTATAGCTAGCTGTAAGATCCAGAGACAAAGATTTGTATTCTTCTACCCATGACAAACATTTTAACTTGATAATTTTAATATATGAAGGCTCAGAATAACTTTCTTCTCAACACTAACTCTGCAGCTGCATTACGCCGGGGACGGGGGGGGGAGGGGTGTTTAACTGGAATAACAGGACCAGATGAAAGGGAGACTACTGTGGCAAGACTCAGGCATTTCGTCACACCATTTGGTGTAATACCAAAGTTTACGTTATGCTAAATTGATCAGATTCAGTTCAAGATTTCTGCTATAAATGCCCTAGCCACATTCCTTCCTAACTATTTGTTACTGGCCATCAATTAGTAAGCATATTTACATGTGCCTGTCGTCAGTTTTTGCTACAAAGGATAGTTATATTGTTGTACCAGGCCAATGCTAAAAACAGTCAATTGGCTATACCACACTCTGATCAACAGAAATCATGACTAGTTTCAAGCAAAGGTTGGACCAAGAGATTCATGCCCTCCTAACAAAAGTACACTCAAACAAAGTGTCATCAATAACAGTTCCCATCATTCATACCCCTAAATTTTAGTCCATAAGCCAGATCTGAGTGAAGTTCACTATATGCACTGAGAGTCATTGCTACACTCGCTGCTGTGACTGAAGTGTAGCACAGAACTGAGCAGAGACTGAAAAACCTGCCTGAGCGTAAGAGTAGATACTCAAGCAAAAATCCCTTATTTGGTGCTATCAGGGCCAACTCGCTGTCAATACTCAAGCTAGGCAGCCAACTTAAGGCCAGCTCGGGTTATTTCTACGCAGAACCTACAACATAAACATCCCTATTTAAATTCCAAGTATCTGTATTTAAATAATTAAATTATACATGACACAATTAGTTTTAAAGATAAAGGAACACAAGACAAGAAAAAGCTTCTGAAATCATCAGGGCCACTCCCCAGCTACCATAGGAAACCATATCTGATTAAGTCTGGTGGTATATATCATAAGCTTGGAGAACATGCATGCATGCACACACAGACATGTGCGACTTTCAGCACTGGCTATTCAATAGCCAAAGATACAGATGAGAAGAGGGAACTCCAATTTAGAGATCAGTTTCCTGCAAGGTGCTCTTCCCTACTGTCATATGAAACAGAACCAGATTTGTTCCCGGTTAAAAAAAATACAAAAACCCCAAAACAAAACCCCACAATATCCATGATTCTGTTCTTTACAACTAGCTGAAAGGAAGTGGGGGGTGGAATAATTTCAGACATTCCCTCAACTAGAATCTGAAGAGTAATGGAAGAGCATTAGATTGGCGGCCAGCAACTTCGTATGTAAAAGTCATTAAGATTTTTTAAAATACTTGTGCCTTCCCTCACTTTTTGAAAAAGTATGCACAAGTGATAGTTTAAATACTTTTTCTAGAGCTCAATGGAAATTAAGCCAGGGAAGAGATCCCATGAACTCAAGTGAACACAGAATTGTTTTAAAGTTATGAACAACATTTTCTTCAGGGATCAGTACTGTATCACTTTCCATCACACAGAGCTTTACTAGGAGCATATCTAACAAATGCAACATCACAAACAGGTAAAATCTATTTTCTACCAAAAGAGGATAAAGGAATAGATGAACCTACAAATAACTATGCTACTAAGAATTAAATAACAACTGCATTGGAAGGACAGCCACAATTTGTAAAACCTATTATCAAAGCATTATAGCTCCTTATTATAACTATAACTAGTCATCATTTGTAAGCCATGGTTAACACATAGAAGTAGAAAATGGGAAGGCTTAACCACAGGTGCTTGTACTTGAATAAACAAATGTGAGTGTAAGTATATAAATATTAAATAATTAAGACTATATTTAGATAACAGTTTCCACCATGGAAATTAAAGTCAGCTAGGAATAAAATCTAAACTTCGCTTTTTTTTTTTTTTTTTTTTTTTAAAGGTTAAAATAAAAAAAAAAAAAAAGAAGTTTTTTTTTTTTTTATTTTAACCTTTAAAAAAAAAAAAAAAGAAGTTTTTTTTTTTTTTATTTTAACCTTTAAAAAAAAAAAAAACTTCTTTTTTTTTTTTTTTTTTTTTTTTAAAGGTTAATATCAGAAAGTAGCATAAGAATTGAACAGCATGCAAAAACACGTCTAACATTGTGAGAAACAAGCATACCAAAAATTAAAAGAACTATCAACACAGCCCAAAACAAAAATCTACTGCTTAAAGAAAAAGCAATGAAGGCCCAAAGCTTCTTAATCTCCTATAATACACACGGCCACTGAAGCCAGCTCCTCTCAACACATCAATAGTTTCTTCTAGACTAGCAATAAGAAGAAGTGCTTAAGAGCTCAGACATGCAAAAGAAAAACAAAAAAAGCACCTGCAAAACAGTCAAAACACCAAATGAACTTCATGTTTTTGGATTATTCTGGCCCTGAGGGGAGTATCAAGTTGGCACAGCACCGTACCACACCTATCCCACCAAGAGTGAAGAGGAAAAGAAAGGACGGTCAGTGCATTTCTGTGATTCAGGGTACACCCTGTTGCTATCACCTGTGATTCAGGGTACCTCCTGTTGCTATTCCAACCCTGCTTAGAGCTATGATACACTTTTGAGTTACTGCAAGACCATTTCTGACTATTCCACAAAACTGGAATAGAACCTGGCTGCCCTAGAGACAGACACTACTTTTGGGGGGGGCACAGGGGGTTGATTTTTTTGCTGGACTAATTGTATAGTTGGAAGAGATGTTAGACAAACTTCTTTGTGGCTGAAAATGTGTCCAACATCTCTCCCATCTATGTATTTGGTCCATTCACAAATATCACTCCAAAAAACCTTGTTTCTATCATATTTCTTGGACCATCATGGCTACAACAACAATCCAACCAATAAAGGTAACAGACTCATTACAACCACTTCCACAACCAACATTCTGACTCCATATCCTAAATTCAATACAAAGTTACGGGTCATGTACCATTTCCAACAGTTATAGAAGCATAAACCCTACATGTGGATCAGCCCATGGCCCAAAAATAATTACTTATAAATTAATAACTTATAAAATATTTATTTGAATTCAAGATAAGGTCTGTCCCCCCCTTTAATATGAGGGGGGAACCCCTAGTCTTTGATTCAAGTACAAGCTAGAAGGGCAGTATCTGCCACCTCTGACCCCAACTCCCGTCTATCCCTCACCATGTCTCCCTCCTATCACCAACTCTGCCCCACACCTTCTCCAACCCACCACCTGTATCCCACAGTCTTTCCTGGGCCCAGATGGAGCTGCTGCCACTACAGCTGCAGTCACTGCAGCAGCTGTGTGGTTAGGCTGGGGCTGAAGCAACCATGAGCTCTGTGCCCTGGATTGGAAAGGAGCTGGATTGCTGCTGAAGGGTAAATGCAGGTGGGATGGGGACAAGTGTTGCAATGCACAGGCAGCATGAAGGCAAGTGGTAGTGGGGTGGTGACAGGTAGCAGGAGGTAAGAACCTAATTAACTAAGTGCAATTGAGTTTAAAAATTCAGCATAATTTTGGATCTTGGTAAATACAGCAGAACCAACCACCACCCCCTCAACAAAATACTATGCAATAATTTCTAGGGGTGCACCAATAGAGGTTTTTGGGGCTGATACCGATAGGCAATTTTTAAAGGAGGCATACTGGCCTATACAGATCAGATTTTCGCTACCAGTTTGGCAAGCTGCATGCAGCTAGTAAGTCTGGTGTGGTAGAAGGGGAGGGGGGAGAGAGTGGCAGATCAAGGCCTACCCTCACCATGGGGGGAGTGGGGCTGGGGCAAGCTCTGCCCTGCCTTGGCTCATCAGGGAGGTGCGGGGTAGCTCCCACCTCTGCACACCACTCGTCCAGAAGCCACTGGTCCAGCACACGGCCCACGCCATGCTCTCCTGGATGAGCGGGCGAGTGGATGGGGCAGGCCAGAAAGAGCCCCAGCTTCAGCCTGCTGCTCCCTGTGCAGATCTGGGGGCACACGCTCCCCCACTCTCCCATGACCTCCTAGACGAGTGGCAGAAGCAATGGTGGGAGCCACTGGACAAGTGGGCAAGCCCTGGACAAGCAGAGCACAATGGTGGGAGCCAGCCCCTCCCCTCCCTGCATGAGCTACGGCTCCGTCCCATACCCATCCTACCCTGACTGTGCTCCTTGCTGCCTACATGCTGCACTGCAGCTGCGCACATGCCCAGGCATTTATTGGCCAAATTATTGGTCACATCAGGCTGATTTTCAATACAATCAATTTTCTTTATATCAGTCCCAATACAATATCGGATCAATGTATTGGTACACCTCTAATAATTTCCTTAAGTCTCACTCTTACTGGTAAAAGCAAGAAACACTTTCACTTTTCCTTGCTCTGCTTATGAAACTCAGTTAAAGTATTCCAGCAAATTTTCAAAATCCTATTTCTTCTCACAAAAGATGGGAAAAACTGAGAGATTTTAGAGAAGTAGAACAGAAAATATGCCCAACAAAAGGCAGAGTGCACCCTTAGATGATCTGAAATAATATGCTTCACAACACAAAAAAAATGAGCAATTAACTTTTCATTTAAGCATGTGCAGTACAACATAAATAATTCTTCATTAATACTGCAATTAAGTCCTGTGAGAGACATACCATCAACTGAATTATTCTACTCAAAAGAATGTTTAAAAATTATGTTTTAAAAAGAATGTTTAAAAATTATCTTTATTATCTGTTTGCTTATTTTTATTTGAGGTTTTTGCCCATATTTATACAGAAAGGTCAGTGCCATATGTGAAAAAGAGATTGGAGCATGTGTATACACATGTACACACAAATGTACTGACCCAAGAAAAAAGCTTTAATAAATATAGAAGTGCATATAAGAATGACACTTCCTAGGGGTACACGATACATCAGCACTGAAAAAAGGAGAAATGATGTTATCTACCATCAGCCTTTTTTGGTCGCTATAGCCAATAATTACGGCTGTGTGCCCAGAGCACCCCAGTGAGCACAATCTGGTCTTCACGCCCCGCTGCTGGCCCAAGCCTGCGGCAGACTACGGTCCTGGCAATCAATGGGAGGGTGTGCCAAGGAGTGGTCACAGGGTGCGATGCTCAGCAAGAAAGGAACTGTTACAGGCTTCTGCTTCTGCTGCAATGACAATTCCGCATGCACATCAGAGGCTTGAGCACTGGGGCTGCCATGGAGATGGTGGGCTGCTCGCAGGTAGGGTAAGGTGTTGTGCGAGGGATATTCCACTCTGCCAGGCACCTTTGCAAAAGCAGGTTCTCCCTGGCAGATGTGGGAGCTCAGCAGCACAGGGCCCACCAGTGCTGAGGCAGTGGCGTGGTCTGCAGCTCCAAACATGCCCGGCACTGCTCTTCATGCAAGGGTCTGCCTCACTCACCCCAGAGGGCAGCACGGGTTTCGTGGGAAGCGGGGCTGCAGGTAGGAGCTGTGGACGAGGGGGCGATGAGAAAAGCAGTGACTGCCTTATTCCCATTGAGGGCTGCAGCAGACAGGAGGTTTGTGTGGGTTATAAATGCAAAACAAATTAACAAAGAGGTTTATTTATGCCAGTAGTTTAAAACACTGTCACTAAATATTGGTTATCAGATCCACATTGGTTAATATGGTTGGTTAATCATATCTATAAAAGCCAAGAAAATCTTTGATTGGGATAGACAAGAGGAGAAAAAAAATCAGGCTGGAGCCATGCCACTATTTGTTTGCTTTTTCAAAACAAGTTTAATACTCCACTCACTTCAAACAACCTGAACAAACACTGGAAGTGCAGTTTTAAAAAACTATCAGGTGCTGAAGGGTGACTGTCTAAAGAAGGATCTCCAGAAGTTCTCTCCCTTTCCACTAACCTTTCTTCACAAACTTCAAGTTCCCAGACCATTTATGTGAGCAAACAGCTACTGGAAAGGTCTCTCCCCAGCACTACTGCTTTCATTCAGGTACTTCCGTAACTCCCACGCACCAAGCTCAGGCATTAATAAACATGATTAACAGCCAGGCAGCACTCTGCAAATCAGCTGTGATGGCTAAACTCAGCCCATTTTTCTAACCCCCAAGATTATGGATTTCAAATTAAGTTTATAGCATTTTTTTAAACCAACCTCTTTTGTTGCAGGATAGGAATATTTTCATGAGAAAAAAACTCATCAAAAACCCCATTCTCTCTCCCTCTTTTTTCCCTGATGGACTCATTTGGCAATAGGGCTAACAAAACTGTCTCTTCACTCAGACCTGCCCCTCAACCATGTGTGGGCACCTCCCTGACAATGCTAAGGAGAACACCCCCCAACCCCCATTTTTAAATAGGGCAGAGGGATTTTTATCACAGAATCATAGAAAATGAGGGTTGGAAGGGACCTCAGGAGGTCCCATCTAGTCCAACCCCCAGCTCAAAGCAGGACCATCCCCAACTAGATCATCCCAGCCAGGGCTTTGTCAAGCTGGGCCTTAAAGACCTCCAAGGATGGAGAGTCTACAACCTCTCTAAGTAACCTGTTTCATCACCCTACTAGTGAGAAAGTTTTTTCCTAATATCCAACTTAAACTTCCCTTGCTCCAACTTGAGACCATTGCTCCTTGTCCTGTCATCTGCCACCACTGAGAACAGCCTACCTTCATCCTCTTTTGAACCCCACTTCAGGTAGTTGAAGGCCATTATTAAATCCCCATGGTGGTGGCTTGCTCTACTCTCATGTTTCTGGCTGCCACTACCAGCATCTCCACTGCTGCTATTGCACCTGGCCCCATGGCCTAGACACCCTGGCCCATCCACACCCCCCCACCCCTACTGCCCAGAGTGCCAGACAGAGCAGGCAGGTGGGAGACCAGCAGGCACCCTGTGAGCAGGGCACACCCGGCCAGGCGGATAAGACTGGGTGTAAGCGCGTGAGAAGCGGTGTCTGGGAGCAGGACCAGTAGGCCAAGGCCAGGATCACAGGGTGGTGACAACGCAGGGCCACGGCCTAGAACACAGCCGTGATCTGCTCCCTATACAGCCCTGTGACAGGCACCAGCTCCACAGGCAGCACATGAAGCCCGCTCCCTCCTGGTCCCATCTGCCAGGCTGAAGGCGCTCAGCCTGCGGGCATCCTGGGCTGGTCTCTAGGGAGACCCCGCCCGCCTGCTCCCTCCAGCGCCCCTGGCACTAGGTGCGGGATGAACAGGCCCAAGGCCAGACAGGATTAACTAGCATCTTGCAGCCCAAGGGCAGTGGAAACAACTACGCGGGGAAGCCGAGGCCAGGGCAGCCTCCTCTCCCCAAGAGAAGGTCACCAAACCGGCCGTGACGCCCAGCCCAAATCACTGCTCCCCCCCGACCCTTTTTGGGGGTGCTCGGCCCTGCCGCACTCACCCACTGCCTCAGGCGCACTGCGCGGCCGGGCCGCCCCCACGGCTGCACTCCGGCTCGCCGGAGCCCCTGCGCCTCATCCTCCCCCGCCGCCGTCGCCACCGCTAGGACCAAGACGGGCGTCGCTCCCCGGGGCCCCGCCGCTTCCGGGACCGCAGCTGTGCCCCCACTTCCGCTTCCGGGGGCAGGAGACGAGGCCACAGCCCCCAGAAACGGGCCAAACCACTTGCTGAGGACGCAGGTGGGGGAGACAGGTAGGAACGCGTGGCTTGTTCAGCGAACCCCGGGTTGAAACCACCCTCTAGCGTCACGGGGGTAGGACTCCGCGCGATGTCGGGAGCGTTACAGCGTCCCAGTCGGGCTGTACCACCATGAGCGGGGGGGGGGGGGG